AGCGTTTTAAATTATCAAAATGATTTTCAATGTATTTTAGGTCATAGATTGATTAAATCAAGAGTTTTTCACGAATATATTCAAATTTAAACATAAAATTAAGCTTACATCAAAGTAAATTACGTAACAGAACGATAAATTCACTCGTTAAATATAGATAAAATCACTCCAAAAACACATTGACATACATAAATGAATACAAATTACCCAAAACATTTAAAACATTGTTTGATTGTCACAAAACTACATATCTCTTGAGGTTTATTAGGATAATGTATGTTACGAAATCATGAAAATAATTTTTAATGATATTAATATTATTGAATTAATTCGATTTCCTCCTCATAAAGGATATGAAAACAATAACAAAGGTCCATAACAAAATGAGATAGCATCGGAATTAAAGTTGAATTTACGTTTCACAACTATAATATCTGCGTCAATCTTTTATCTGTTTGGTATACGAAAAGCTGGCCATGGTCAAGCTTATTTTATCATGTTACTCAATTACATTCACCCTGAACGCTAGCATTAGTGCTAGGGCTCTGGATGAATATAATTGAGTAAATCTAAATATTGTTAGACAATGCTTCCCTATTATATTAGCTTCCTTTTTGCTTATGCCTTTGTCATTGTCATTTCTTTAATGCAAGAACGTAATTTTGTAAACGTATGAGTCAAGCTTAACTGAATACAAAACGATATTTTGTATCCGCAAACGGAGGATAAAATTTTGCTTTAATATAAGCAGGATATGAATTAAAATTGCAAAGCGAACGTTCTCTTTCTACCTACTCATGTTTGATATTCTAAACATAATAAAAAATATATTTTAGTGTATTAACTCAGTGTTGAATATTTTTTTAAATAAATCTAGATTAACCAGTATTTCCTGAATTTGTTATTTGAGATTTGAAATAAACATGCATCACTGCTAAGCTAAATTCAACACAGATAAGTCCAATTAACTCATAAATATTAAAGTTTGTTATAATGTTATAAGCAAATCGATGTGTTCATCAACTTTTTCAATCATTGGTCGAATGGATTAAAGAAAAAGAACTCCGCCATTATTAATTTCAGTTTACGTGCCAAATGCATACGTTACGGGTATTACAAGAGCTGACGGTCTAAATTGCATTACAAATAATAAACACTCGTAATGCGAACAAAACGCCAAAGATGAGGTCACTACATGAATCATGATACATCTCGTGCCGCTGAAGCTGCAACTAAATAAAATATCATAGTGAGAACTCGTAAACTTTTTAAAGCACTATTAATTTAACGCGTTTTCAACTTTAAAAGAACCGAAATTTACGCGCTGGATGCGTAACTAGTGTCTTACATAGAACTGTTCCGGTGGGTTAACGCGAAACGCGATTTCAAGTTCACGTGTTTACATCGCAGGAACGAGGCATTTCATGGTCAAAAAAACAACAGTATCTACGCATCGCTTGATGTCTGCTCTAGGAATTCGGCGCGGAAAGCGGCGAGACCACCGTATTAGGAGAACGGCTCGCTGTAACGAATTAACGCTCGTGTCTGAAACGATTTGAGATTAACTGTAACAAGTCGAGCCTTTAGAGCTCCAAAGACTATATTAATGATTCGGCAACAAGTCACGACGACGGCGTCCATACCTACCGCACTCATTACCAATATGCGCCCTCAAAAAGGAAAGTTAATTAAGTATTCGATATTATGCTAATCGATTGTAAATCGGTCGCGAATTTGGCGATTTCCGAATTCAGTAAAAGCGTTAAGTCGATGATAAATATCGTTAACCGAATTCGATATTAGAAGCGAAACGCGACGCGAATGAACAATCAAGTTGGCGCCGAGAGTCACTAGTCTGTTAGCGACGCGCACTGGCGCGTATTAGATAATCGACGCGCGCGCAGGCCGTCGAACCCATTGCACATTTTCGACACGCCCGCTAGAAATAGCCGGTTGCGTAATGCGTAATGGAAATAATCGTAGCCTTGAACGACAAACGCGCACGTCTTTGGCGCCATAGTCCTGCTCGCTTCCTTCTGTCTGTTCGTGTATAAATTTGACATTGAAATCGCCCTCGGTACGCAAGCGAAAGCGGACCAAGATATCTTTTTTCACGGGCGCTCGCCTTGTTATCGCCACGGGGCTCGGTTACTACGCAGTAATAACGTAAATAGAGTAAAAAGTGCGATAAGCTCTCCGCGGACGACGTGACGGCGCGAAAGCCGCGTGGCGGACTCGTAACAATTTCTGTTTTCGAGATTCACATTCTTCGCCGCAAGCGGTAGTATAGTTTTAGATAAGCTGCCTTTCGGAGAGCACATGATACTAAGGTTTCATCGTCAAAGTCCGTCAAAAGTACACATTTATACCATTATTATAATCATAAATAGAATCAACATCATTGTTTCATACAAACTAAACGAAGTTCTTTAATTTTTTTTCATACAAAAAAAATGAAGATTAGCATTAGATGAACGTTACGGATTATTTATTAACCTAGACAATTTTAAAAATCTTCTTTTTTTTTTTAATAAAATAAAATTATATCGCGCATAAGTTCGGAATAGTGTCTGTTCCAAATTGGATTTGGCGCCAAGACGCATGTCTCAAGACAGATGTCGCGGCGGCTTCTCTATGACAGTCACGTTCACAAATCTGGCGCTCTGTTTATACAGCACTACGCCACGGGCTTGCCTCGTTAAATTTTTATTGCCGCAAGGTCGCCACTTTATGGTCAATTCTCAGCTGTTATTGTTCGCGGGCCCGCTTTTTTTCCCTCGGCTAGCGTCAAACGCCTTATAACGGTGGAGTTACGATTGACAGCGATTAGCTCATAATTGTTATGGAGCCATAAAACGATTTTTACAAGCACCGCAATCGTAAGCCGTTCCGTTTGCCCGATTACTGAAATATATTGATGATAAAGGTGTATTAATGCGGCAGTATACCGACGGCCGGGCCGCCGCTATAAATTTACGAGTGCGACTGTTTTATGCCGCGGATTTATCTGAAATAATGCGAGAGTGCAACACTCGACGTACCAACGTCTACTATTTCTGCTAGCACAAACGTACGGCCGACGGGCGGCTATCGCGGATTGTTTTTTGATGTCCCCCAGAGGGCATTACTATGTTGTGACTGTGAATTTGGCGATATCGGCTTTAGCGAAACGACCGCAGCGGGTCGAGTAATAAAGCAATTTGCGAGCGTGCCAACAAAACAATGAGCCCCGTTCTAAGCTTGTTTTAACAGCTTTCGACACGTTGATTTACAAACCCTTTGACTTATACCTTATTTGTAAACATCTTGTTAACACAAAGGAACGCTATTTCGAACAATAAGAAATTTGCACAACCCCGTTGCCGTGAACTCTTTGTTGTCCTGTTTTTATTCTTACTCTTCTTGTGCCGAAATTCGGTGAAAGTCGAAAGTTGTATAAACGGACGAAACTATTTACGAAAGTCTTGCGAATGAGAAAAGGATTCCAAAGTTGTTGGTTTTTTGAAGACGTTTCATCCAAATTAATTAACAAATACTTTTTACTTTGGCTTTGTAATTTAATGAAATTTTATATAAATTAAATATTATATACATTAACATTCACCCATAGTACCTATTTGTAAATATTTTGTCAGTATACAATATTAAATGTTTGTTGCCTTTTCTTGTTTTTCATGTTTGGCGTTTAAATGAATAAAGCTCATTGCTTTTTACGTGTCGACTAGTAGCACATTGTCTACGGAGAAAGTCTGTGTTGAATACTACCTTAATAAACCCTTTATTCGCTTTTTAGATTTTTCTTTAAAGCAAAAAAAGAGAATCGATGGCCGCCATTGTACGCAAGCTTTTGTTGTGAAAGGTAAAAAGGTAGCTAAAATAACGGAATAAATTTTAAAAGACTTTCGCAACTTAATATATTTTGCAATACACCGGCGCGTGTTTTAGATACCTCCAAGCGATCACAACAAAATGCAACCTGTATGGAAGAAAAACACATTCTCTTTTAATTTATGTCATACATTCTAAAACAGTTTCAATTACAGCCCATGTGCTTTTTAAATACGTAGAACAATCAATTCTAAGCTAATAAAATTTAGTTTTTTTACCTATGAAGTTAACTATTAGTTCAGCGATGATGTCAGTGCCAAGTGGTTGGAGATTTGATTGCAATGATTCAACCAAGCCATTTCAAATGAATAATTGCAACAGAACGTACGGAAGGCATGGATGAAGGCTATATCGGCCTGAACGCATGGACTTCCAATGTCTCAATAGATTTATTTTGTTTTACTAGTTCGTTCACGTTTAGGCACTCTGTCTTAATCATTATATTTGAATTTTTGAACTTCGAACGCCACGTAGTTTCCAAGAATGCTACAATAAAGGAGGTTGTATGTGGAATATTTATGAGAGGAGTATTCCCGTAGTGTTGCAGGGTTTTAAGACATGTTTACATAAGGCTCTTTTTTATACTTATATTGGTAATATATTTAAATATATTGACGTGCTGGCAAACTTGAATATTTTTTAACTTTCAATTAATATTTTTCTATCTATAAAGAATCTCTTAAGTACCATTGACATTAAAGCTAACGCTCCAGAATTACTTGTTATTAAAAAACTGTTTCATTATAAATTGATTCATCTTGCAACCGATAATGGTAGTTACATTGTAGTACTTAACACAACATTGCACAGACGTTAGAAAATAAATCTCATCCTATCGCCTAACGGAACTCTGCTACTCAGATTGCTCCTCTCAAGTGAGCTATATTCGTGTTTCAAATTGTCCAACAACCAGTTACAGTTGACGTTATATACGGCTCATTCCGTTTGTTTATGGAGTGATATCTTCACATACACCTGGGTGGTCCTTCTCTGGCTTAAAAGTTTTCCACTAAAAGACGCGAACGACCGGTAGAGAGTACATGCGTCTAGGCCTTATGTCTATATAAATAAGGCTTAAAACTAAAAGAAAATAAAATTGAAACGATAAATACCATTAAACTCACCGCAGACCACGCGGTCGAAGGGGCTCATCCAATCTGGAAATGGAAAATCTATTATCAATCGTATTGAATGTTCATTGTTCCGGCACGGTCGCATGCATAACACAGATACAAAATGCAAGCTAATGGCGGCTAAAAACCTAAAAAGCATTCATAAAATGTTCTCTGCACATAAATAAATCAAATAGACAAGATGTTATTACCAACATGCCCATAAAAATTTAATTTACTTAAAATAACTTTTATTCATTTATTTGCAGTGAACAAAACAAAATATTATCTATTATTAAATGTGCCACAAAATTTATTTCTTCATTGTATAAAACAAATCTTCATCGTTTTAAACCCTCTAAAATTAACAATAATACTTTAACAAAACTTAAGCATTAAGTAAGCATGTTATAAATTCTAGTTTCTAGCTACATGATAATAAGATTAAAATAAATAAAACAACGACCTGAATATTATTTTTACATCCTTACTTAATTATATCCTTACTAATTTTATAAACACGAAAGTTTGTATGCATGGATGGATGTTTGTTACCCTTTTACACAAATACTACTATATGGATTTTATGAAACTTTACAATAATATAGCTTATACATCTGAATAAGACATAGGCTATAATTTATATACATATTTTATGTATATCTCTCTTTCTGTCCTAATGATACACCTTCAGCATATTATACGCAGACGTAGTCGCGGGCAGCAGCTAGCTTACTATAAATATGGATTAACTTTATTCTACTACATGCATTCGAAAGGCTATAACAGATTTTATAAAGAATATTTTTTTTTACAAATGAACAAAAACATCCATTTCTTTTAATTAAATATTTTAAATTTCCGTAATCTGTACTAATATCATAAAATATGTCGGTAAAACATATTCTTTTTCTATATACGGAATAGGTTATCCTTGGAAGAAAATTCAGAATAAACTACTGACGTTCCTGAATGAAAATTTAATAATTGATGAAAAAGTACCTAAAGTATGTAAAAGTTACATAGGCCATAAATCATGTAATATTTATGTTTCTTTCAGTGCCTATGTTATGTAATATTTTATATACTTATATAATAGCTGATCCGGCAAACGTAGTTTTGCCATATAAATTATTTGAAGGGTAGAAAAGAATATTATAAATCTATTTTCATTTATTTAGTCGTTAGCAATTTCAAAACAAAATAAAAAACGCGAAACATTCCATAATATATTACCATTTGTACCATTCGCGAATTTTTAATTTTTTTTATTTATTTATTTTGCCAACCTTAAATAAAAAAGGTTACAAAGGACGGACTTAATGCCCAAAGGCATTCTCTACCAGTCAACTCAGAACGTGATGATAGTTTATGGTAGGTAATGTGAGAAATCATTCTGAAAGTTATTCATATTTGGATACAATAATTTTAGTTCTTTCTTAAAATTCTAAAACTGTTTTCAAAGGGTATCTTTTTAAGTTTATGTTTTTAGTGAAATTTTGAAGTGAGTACAATTTTAAAATTGTAGTAAATAACATAATAATTGAAGTAAATTATAGGAATATTATTTATCTATATAGTTGTATATCTCTATAAAGTTAATCTTGAAATTACAGAAGCAATCATATTTTACTTAACTTTTGCATAGAAAGAAATCTTTGAAGTTTCGCAAATACCTTTAGGGAAAATTTTATGTAGATATCTTTTTTTACCCGCATGAAGCCAAAGGAAACCAGCTAAATTGAAGTGCAATAAAGCTTAGACTAATTATTGATTAATCATAGATAATTATGTGCTAAAAGCCAAACGTATTGTGCCAAATTTTTCCCTAATTGAATTGTTTGACTTTGAAAATGGCGTTCGCTCTGATGTATGGCCCGCGCAACGGCAGATAATGAGAACGTTCGTATTAAGGAGTAATTATGCAGTTTTTAATTAAGGACGGGGTGAGGCATTCAGGTTATTCAGCGGCCAATTTGGTGCCGCCCTGCTATCGATCGGAAGCGTATAACGTTGCCAGCTAATGCAATCGTTAATTACATTTAAGTGCATACGAAACTCGATTATACGTTCGCGGTACATCGATGCCGCGCATGAATAATTAACCGGCGGTGATAAGAGCTCCTGAGGGTCGGAATTCTCGAACAGAATTCTTTGGACGTGGCGAAAAACTAAAAAGCTTGAATGCTTCGCTATCTGATCAATATTTTCGAAAAGCAAACACGTTAATAACGTTGTTCTTGCCAACCTTTTATTTAATTTTTCTTTTATTTCAAATGGAAAATCTGCGTGGTTGATGATTTTGTAAAGCGATTTTGCCATGGAGATTGATGGATGTATAAAAAAAAATTACATGTCATCACTTTATTTATTACATACAAATTTATTAGGGTTATATCCATTCAAAACTTTTTAACCGATTAGAAAAAGTTGTTTCATATAAAGACATATTTTCCCACAAGTCCCCTAAATAAATGTTTAATGCGTAGGTATATATATCGCACAAGTATCTTGTGTCTTGCAATTGACATTAGATTATTTTGATGTAATTGACTTATGTCAAATAATGTGGATAAAATATGTAATTAGTTACCCTCTTTAATAATACTTACCTACTTTTGAATAGGTTGGTTATCGTAAAGTTACCTAAAACATTCTACAAGACGGCTACAGTTAGGCGTGCTTTGGTACCTAAAAAGAATTACAAATGTTTTTATACGTAATGCTAAGACCTTACGAGTATTTGACATTATGTATGGGAAGATAATAAGAAAGTGTAAAATGTTATATTGTGCTGCTTTTTATTACAGTTAAATAAATATTGTATTTTATAAAGCAAGAATATTTTAGTACTAGCAAAAGTTAAAAAGATAAAATCTGTTACACGAAAGGTCGACCGAGCATACAAACGGGTGATAGCTAAATATACGCGTTCAATGTAGCAGAGTAATTAATAGCAATCAATAGCATGCAGAGCGTTAGCGCGGGTTCGGATGCACCGCTATTGGTCGCCGGCGGCCATATTGGCGCGGCGCATGCGTCCCACGCGCGGGCACACATGTGACTGGCTGGTGGCCGACTGTGCACCGATAGGGTACGCGCTGTGACATCTCCCGCCATTGCTGGTTTCGATTTTTTTTAATAACGAAACCCCTCTCCCGTTCGTTAGATTTTAAATTCCTGTTCTTATTATTGTATTCTCGATCTTTTCGGCTTGTATTAATACATGATATTATTTAATGTACGGAAAAATTGTTCCATAATTTTTTTATTACCTATCTTATTCAATTAGGCTTTTTATAGGCCATTTGCCTATGAATAGATATTTTTAAATTGTTATTTAAACGGAATATTTGAAATATTAAAATATTTTAAATTATTATTTTAATTGGCCGATAACTACACTTGTAGTGCGTGAAAAAAAGCCGCAGACGTATTGAAATCACGCATTCTACAACTGGCAGCACCGGAGCTGGCGTATCCGCCATCTTATTTTCGAGCACGTGGTGTCGCAAGCACCTGCCGCCGTATTTTCGTCCCGATATCGTGCGAGACGCGCACGCCGCTACGGCGCGGGCCGCCGGGTCATTTTGACAATCTAACATTAGCGACAAATCACATAAATAGTCGCTTATGAAACAAGAACAAGTCGGTTATAGGCCATTCGGAATAATTTCACTGAGCTACGAGCCATTTACGATGCGCGTCCGCTTTGATTACGGGGCTCTTTACGTGTCGCGTTATTGACGGCGGACATATGCCGGGAAGGTCGGTGACGGAGTGGACGCAAAATGTTTATGATTCACACGTTGTACGACGCGGTGAAATAGTTATTTTTACGGATAATTCATCAACCCTTATACGATCTTTCCACAATAATGTTTACGGGCCGCAAACATTCCTCGATACTGCTATATTATGGGAATGAACTTATTTTCTTTTCTATTCCGATGTTGATGACTGGGTTTCATTTCACCAGGTGCTGGTAAGGATGCATCCTTTGCTTTATGCGTCCTGAACAGCTCGTACAATATTTAGATAGATTAAAATGTCCCCATAACTTTATTCGACCCGCATAACTAAATAGCCCAATGTCTATATTGATTTCAAATTCCGAAATAATCGTTCAATGTGACATTCATTAGTCGACAAAAAAAAAGATTCAAAATTATGTTAATGTGGGTTATATAATTAATTCACTAAATATTACACTTAAATATATAGATGTTGCCTCATTATACGCAGAGTTATACGTCCGTTACCGCCATGCTATGGATATTTATTGTTTGAGGTTAGGTCATAACGGTCAATTAAAAAGACCATTACAGTTTCGGTATCAATACAATATTTTTTTATAAATGTTGGCACATTGCCACTATAAGCTTGCGCTCTCGCACGTGTAACGTCTAAATATCCAACATAAACCGCAATATGCGGAATAACCACTACGACGGACGGGACTTACACTACAAGAATCACTCAAACACTAGAAAAACTTAAAGTGTATCGCAATCGATTCTAAAAAATTAAAATATCATAATTTCTTAGACTGATGATTGGAACCTCTAGGACTGGAAGCGAAATAGCCATCTCATAAAGATAGACGAGCGATCGTAGAGTTGTCTCTTCGCGTGGGGCCAATAAAGCCGCGAATGAAACTAATTGCGCCATTGTATTCAAAGCGAAGACGCATAAAGTGCGGCCGTCTCTGCGCTAAGTGGACCCCACAGTCGTGCACGCGACGAACGGAATGCATCACACAAGTCGCGCCTAGAGCTGCCCTAGGTCAGTTCTCTAGCTGTGCTTAGGCCAAACGGTGGTATTTTCGTCATCCTTATTCAGGATCGTGTCGTAAGTTTGGTAGTAACTTTAGCATACAAGTTGCTAGGCAACGAACAATATAAAAAAGTATAAAGTAGATGTTTGTTTGGCGTTGAAGCACAGAGCGAGATCATTTATTGCGTTATGGTTACGTTATGATTTCATGTGTAGTTGGATACTCAATGATTTAAATTCGAGGTTGCTTGATACACTGGCTTAACTGTCGGGTGTTTTTTTTTTTATATTTTAATATTAATTAAATTGATAAGGAATAAAAGTATTTGAAATTGAATGTAAATAAAAAGTAAGTATATTTAGGTGGGATACCGGTACCGGTCCAACATAAAATATTTTTCGTTTTAATTTATTGTATCTGAATAAATAATAAAACACTGTCGTAATAGATAGTAATCTAGTTACCACTAACGGTCTAGATTATCTAAGATTTGTCGGAAAATATAATTTTACTTTACTCTTTCCTCTCTACGACTCTAAGACTGAAAGCAGAAATTACACAACAAATGGAAGAACATCAAGCGCCTGTTCTCCAGTTTTTTTTATAACGATTTACTTTAATAATAATTATTACCTATAAACCGAAATGGTACTGCGGACAGACCATAGAGATAGAACTATTTAGACAAGTCAGTCACCCATTACAGATATTGCATTTATTTGATGTGCTTTTTAACTTTATATAAATTATTTGTTTTATATGGATGTCCATGGCAAATGTATAGTTAAGTTATAGTTCTGTATATACCTACATTTGGGTATATTGATGATTTCACCAAAGTATATAACCAGGCATCTTCAAAATCACTCTATATACATATTATATACCTATGTTTAAACCTTCCCAGTGGCCATTGATTGGACATTTAATGTATATAGTTGATTCTTAATGATTATTAAATATATATGTATATTTATTATGATTGTGATAAAAAATTTGATTTCATGAGGTTGTCACAACTAATATTTTGTTTCCTGTCCTAGGTATAAATAATAGTCGAAATAGTATCAAAAAAGTCAAAATAAATTGCGAATAGATTTAATTAACGAGGGGATCTTTTGAACGATAGTTAACATATTAAATACAGTAACAGTTTAATGGTACATGAAGTATTGTTAAAAATATGTTTGTAATGTATAATAACTTTTATACAATAAAAAGTTATAACAATTAATAGTTATGATTGTTGATATTATAACCAGATTGATATGAATAACAACCTAAGAATAATAAAAAATAAAAATACCTATTTACTCACTAATATATGTGTATATAAACAACTATGTAAATGTACTTATGTACTTTTATATGTAGTCTATGTAAATAATGGTTATATACATTTATTTATTATTCCTTATTCGATATTATTTTCCCAAAAAAAAATAATAGTGCAAAAACTCCAATTCAATGAATACCTTCCCACATACAAATCTTTATAATAAATTATATATAGATTTATAAATTCATTAATTTAAATTCTATAAAGGTATCCATAAAGTTAGTTAACTTTGAAAATATAATTAAAGTCATCTTAGTAACTATACTCTTAAGGTGACTTTTAACTCGCTCCCTTTTGGTTAATTAGTACCTACATATAATAAAAATTAATTAAATCGTCTAGATTTAAATTAATTAAATATTAAATATATTAATATTTTATATATTAATATCATGATCGGAATAGGTCAGCATATAGTAACTACCTATCATATATAGATATTAATTTTAAAATTATTAGGGAACAAGATAGAATAAACATTAAAGATAGCATTGAGTTACGTGTATGAGTATATAAAATATATGTATTTAAAAAGTAATTAAGGCGCCATGTATGTAAAAAATAAATTAATTAATAAAAAAAATCCAAAGCCCAATAAAGACCGTCTCTACATTAGAACTTTCAATTCCTTGACGATTTTTGAAGTTGAATACATGATCATATAACCCCGTAATGAAATTTCGCCGTCGGCAAAACTGTTGTACCAAACGAGACGCGAAAATAACAATTTCAAGTTCATCTACATATTTAATCGCGAATGCCGGTAATTAAACAGGCAATTAAAGCATAATCAGCGACGCGTCCACCGAATAATTTGCGTTGTACACACGGCGCCCGTTAACCACGAAAATGACCATAAAATTAATAGCTAATGGTCATCTTTATCGCATTCAAATCCGTATTCGCCGATAGATCTGCTCTAATGGGAGATTAATAAGTAATTAAATGGGTGAGGTTCCAATAAGTTTTTATGTACTTATTGAGAAAGTTAACATATGACTAATTATAATGACGGAATATAAATTAATGTCTTAGATAAAGTTCATTGTCGTGCTAAACACTACATATGAAAAAAAATATTTTACGACTACGCAATAAAATTTATATAGCCTTCCGAATGGATGTTATTGTAGATACTCACAATGAAGCTTTCTACTTTGTATAACAAAAGAAATAAGCAATCGTGATGTGCACTCCGATAATTAGCTGTTACAAATTAAGTTCGGACGCTAACATGTAATAGGATTTAATTATAGCGTAAAATTACAACTTAATGCTCCAACGCAAATAAGGCAAGGTATTTTACTAAATAACATAGGTACTTGAACAATAATAATAAAAACGAAATGCTTCAAACTAATGGATTGCAGACAGAGAAGCGGCAACGGGCGTGCAATGAAGTGAACATACCAGTGATGGACATCCAGGGGTAGCGCGGTATGTCGGGCAGCGGCTGGGCGGAGGGCTGGGCGCAGGTGGCCCCCATGGCGTCCACGGAGGCCGCGGAGGCGGCGGAGGCAGCGGAGGCGGCCGCCTGGTGGTAGAACTGCGCCGCCGCCGCCATGCTAGCGGAGGCGGCGGACACCGCTGCGCCCCCATTGTGCTGGCCGAGCGCGTAGTTCATCATGGGGTCAGCACCGACGGCGGCCGGGTAGCGGCAACTCTTGTCGTCCGCCCCCACGCCCGTGAACGGCACCGAGCCGCCGAACTGCTGGTGGTGCGACACGTAGGGGTACATCCTCGCCGGGGCGCCGGGCGACGCCGACGATGAGGAGGACGAGCGCTGCGGGCTGCCCGCGCCCGGCGAGCCCGCGCCCAGCGCCGCCCCCGACAGCGACGACGACAGCGACGACGAAAGCGACGACGACAACGACGACGACAGCGACGAAGACAACGACGCCTCGATCGGCGACGCCGCCGCGCCCGCGAACAGGTTCTGGTGGTGGAACTGCTGGTGGTACTTGGGGAGCATGCTATCGATGATGAACTTGGAACTCATCGCTCGGCGGCGACGCGGCGCGCGACGTACGCCTCGCGGGTGGATGCGCTTTATCGCCGGCGATTCGGATCGATTCGCGCGCGTGCACCTCCACTATGGCCGCGGCTCGTTTATGGCCCGCGTATGAGGCTCTACGACTCGGGGCCCCGGCCGCGGCGAGAGTTGCCGCCGCCGCGCGCCGCGAGCGGGACGGCCGCGGGCGGCCCGCGCGCGCGAAAGAGACGCAGCCACCGCGCCGCGCCCGCGCGGAAATCCCTCCGTCTCATTAAATCCCACCTGCGCGCCGCGCATTAGAAAGAGATAAAAGCTATTCGCTAACGAGCGCGCCGCCGGCCATTGCTGGTAATGGCGGGCACCCCCCGCCGCCCCGTGACCCCCGCCGCTACGCCAATAGTGCCCCGCTGCAGAACATTCGCTGCCAATCACAAACCATTCCGGCACTTCTAGCTGTCAAATTGAACGGTCTTAAACAAAACGGCGCCAACAGTATTTCTCAAAACTTTTTTAGTTTTAAATAACAATAAATTCTATATTTTCATGAAAGACGATTTGTTTTATTATGCACTTCACAATAGATCAAAAACAATTTAAACAAACACACAAAAACTTGCCGAAAAATTTTTCCGCGTAAATGTTCCGAATAACGATTCGCTTGTAAAATATTAAATTTTAATAATTATTCATAAAAAATATACCGTATATTAAGTTATACCGTATATTATTACTATAAATAGCACTTAATTATCAAAGTAACAGAAAATATTAGTTCACTGTTAAAGAAAAAACGATAACTTTTTATAGAAAGTCTTTTTTATTAGAATTAAATTGTAGCAAAAAATTTAACGTGGATCAAGGGATCCATATTAGAATTTGGTTTCAAACACGGAGAGTGCATTTTATTGCGTTTTTGATTGTGTTCGAAAAAAAATTACGTCATTGTTTAGTCGATTGTCAAGATGCTTATAATAAGATAAGCTCAAGAGTAGAAAGTAGTATAACTATAAAAAATCTGTTTAAGTTTACAAATATGAACTCGATTAAATTATTGGTCATTAGTTTTGTAATTGGATTTCAAAATTTCTTATAGGAATTTGTAACTCTATCGTCAATATAATAAATATTATGTAAGCATGAATTGCACAGGGTTGTGTTACGCTAGCCACGTGGTCGAACTGGTATCGTCGCACCCTTTCCGACACGCGTGCCGTCCCGCTCGCACGTTTCATTCATCGCGCGCGTCGTAACCGCAGCGGGCACGTGCGCAATAACAAACTTTACGACAATTTAAATAAAACCGTTTATTGCGTGCGAAGTTTATTTATTTACAACAGTTTCGATTGTTGAGCGCGTTTAGTGCATGGTTTTTATGGGCTAAGTTGCCTTTTCAGCTTTATCAGGTCGCTAGTACGACGGTGAGGCAGTAGAACATTGCATAAGTATAGGTTTTATGTTGTTATTGTGATGTTCATGCCACAAATGTATAGGGAGCAATGATATGGCCGGTTAGGGTCATTCGTTTTACGATAGATGCAATTTTTTATCGCGGCTTAATTGTTTTAAACTGTTAATGCGGAGGTTAACGGCTATTTACGTCCTTATCATGTTTTATTTTGTAGGATTATGATTTTTATTACTTCATCATAGATAGTGGAGTAACTATAGTGATTAATTTTAACTTATTATACAGCTGTATTATACAATGTAGGGTAATAGAACATTCAGTATCACAATAAGAATTTTTGAACAAAATTGCACAAACGTTGAAGAGAGAAATAATTTTTTGTACTGCTTTAAACTGTCTAACAGAATATCCTATCAAATAACCAAGTATTTCAATTCGACTCCATACATGCAGCTCGCTTGATATTTTTAGATAAATATTTTTGTTAAAAACCCTTAACGTCACCATTTAGATAAATAGGTAATTACTAAAAAGGAACATAAATCACTCAAGAATGTAATCAATAATTGCTAATAAGAAAATCAGCGCTAGCATTAACGAGAAGCACATTCAAGCTCCAGCACTAGGCGAAGTCCCACGGTCCCATAGAAGGCTGATGTGATGCGAAAGTAGTACCTTTAAGGGTTGGCAATAGACCTGAAAACTATCTGGTGAATCCGGTGTACCTGGCCGTATCATTAAACATGAAATGAACCAGATAGCGGCCATAACTCAGCTGTTTGAAACAGAGCCTTTACTGTGTCGTCATCTTCAGAGTCGACGTACACACACCGTTAGGCAATTCATTTGGCAAAAACACACCAGTAACCAATCATGTTACAGCTAACACGAATCGAACAGGCTTAAGTATTCTGACGCCAGCTCCAACACAAATCGTCGCTAAATCATCCTCGCATAACCCGCGTGAGCCGCGTTGATGAAGTTTCCAACGGAATAAACGGAGAGCAAATCTTAGGAGGCCAATATTATTTGTAGTTTCTATTTCTCTCTTTGCTTAAAAACTTTCGTAGCAAAGCCATCGCGTATATTTTTTCGATTTATATATCACATAATATCAAAAATACTCTCATCCCTAATAAGGTATTGAGCTCATCTCTAATAACATGTTGAGATGCATTCGTTTCACATAGCTTAAGATAGGTACAAACCGCGACAGGCAGTGAATTTATCAACGAAAAACGAGTTATTTATTTCATGCACGTAATCTATCTGGAAAATGAGAAACAGGTCACTGGGATGTAAACCTGCTACCTGAGGTAACGATAATTGTATCGTTAACTCGTTACTTAGCTTACTTAGCTTTACTACCTATACTTAGCTTAGGTATATATATAACTTAGCTATACTAAGTAATTGGGAACATTACACTATACTTACAAAGCATAGAGTATACTTCGTCTGTAGCCTTATGGAAATAAATCAACACCGCTTGCCATCGCGAGCTTTTCGTAAATTTTCGTTTCCATATGTGTTTTCAGGACTGCCAGAAAGGTTAGCAAAAACTACCAACTCTTCGGTCTCTAGTCGTAAATAAAGTTTTGATAGTAAAATATGTACCTGGGCCATAGAGTTAAGGAAGAGCAAAAGTAAAATCACGATCGATTAGGTCTTATTCGTGTTTGATAATTGGTAAATCATAGCTTATTATAGTTCAACTGGTTTTCATCTGCTTAACTTTTGCTGGTAAAACTGAAGTAATACTACGTATTACTTTTATCCTTCTGTGTTTTGTTAATCCTCAGTATCCATCTCCTAACTATCTCAAAAGTAAGAAAATCTCTATCTGTTCCTCTTGGAAGGATACATCAGCATTCTGCTGTTACCTTACCCCACATTGGTTGGGTCGACAGAACATGTGAATCATGTTGTCAGCGGCTACGTTGCTAAGATCGGCGGCCTGACTTCCACACGTACAAATACCTGTGTGACCCACAGTTAGTTGTGCTGGGTTTGTTCTCAGGGTGCGACAATTAGAAATCCTCCAACTTGACACGGTGTTTAGTCAATTGGATTTAGGATGTTTCCTAATTGGTGGATTCTCTAGAAAAGAAGATTCCATGGAGATACTGGTCATCCAAGGCCGCGTAGAAGGCAAAAGACCTCGAGGTCCAGCTCCTGCGCGCTGGATTGACCTCATCACCAGCACTACGAAGGCCTGTGTTAACTGTGGTAAGACCACGGAACAGTATTCGCTGTTGTACGAAGGGGCAGATCCGCCCGGGTTGGTACCACGACCTCAGAGAAGACCGGCGTAAAGTATGGTGAATGATGGAGCTGGCGCCCACATTATTCAACACATCTGCAAACGGTGTTGTAAATGTCCGTGGGCGGAGGTTATCGCTTAACATCAGGTGAACCGCCAGCTCGATTGCCACTTTCTCACATCGAAAAAAAAACTACGAAAGCCAACGCAGTACAATGTGCTTGCATTGCTAACAGCGGCCTCCAATGGACCCGTATTAACTGATGTTTTTGCTTTCAGTTCCGAGACTATTAAAGCTTCATTTGACGCAGAACTGGTGGGCTAGCCAGAACCCTCGGGTTTGGGCCCACTGCTGTGGGTAGAGGCGCTCATGTGCTCATGCGTGCGTTTAACTATGGTATGTCATCTAAGGGCCATCAAGGATCCCGATGGCCGTCGCCTCCAATGGAGGAACATCGCTAGACGGCTGCCTGTCCATCGACAGCCACGACCACTCTGCCAAGAGTGTCCGACTAAGAATAAGATAATTGGTGTTTTTGCAAGTCAATATCCTATAAGAATTATAATGAACTAGTATTACCTATCCTAAATAGTTTAAATCAATATTATTATACACTCTGACGCCCGGTTTCTGAAACACTGATCATCGTAGATGTTAACTAATCAGCTGTCATATGGCTTTTCAAATTTTATTTTAGTTGCCAAAAGGATGGTTACACTCCCCGAATTGATCAGATAGATCTTCTTAATGAAGATCAGAGTGATCAAAAAGACATTAACTAAAATAAAATTTTAAAAGCCATTTAACACCTGATTAGTTGATATCTACGATGGTCAGTGTTTCAGAAACCGGCCGTGAGCTTTTTTTGAAGCTCTATGGACGTTTTAATGAAACTCTTCGAATGTCATCGCATTTAATCTCGATTTAAACCTCGCAACATTTCGAATTTACAGCAACGACAAAATTTACTACGAATAAGAAACGCATAGAATCCCTTCAGTCAAACTGTCTCCTGTAGTGGTAGAATTTGTCTGAATGACGCAAGCATCATAATAATTATGTCAACGCTATACTGAATTTCTTGTCTTTTAAAGCAAAGGTGTAATATACATGTGTTGTAACATATAATTTTGTAAAATTGTTATATGGGTGAAGTACGTTTTATGTATACGAGTATACAAGTAAACTAGAGAATTATGTGCTCTTTAATATATTTCTTCTAATTTTTCGAGGTTTCTAATATTGATTTCTTTAACAATAATGTGTAAAACACATTATTGTTAAATGAAACTAAAAAAAAAAACCGTAAAATAGTCTCATTAAACCATGGAAGTTTAAAGTCACTATTGTGTAAGATAAGCAGGGTATAACGTCCAAGAACCGACACCGTTAACCGTACGTTAATCATCAACATTTAAAGAGTTTCTCAATAAAATTGTTCAATAGCAACTAGCGAATTACCTATTATGGCCGCCACTCTAAAAGGGTAACAAGCGAGCCCGCGTCGAGCACAAGCGTTCTAACATCTCAATAACATTAAATATTTTTACAGGCAATAGAAATCCATGTATCGCTCATATAAAGTTTACGACGGCCGCGAGCGGTCGACCGCGCGGTGCGATCGGCCAGTTTAAAACGCAACCCGGCACAGGAGAGGGCCTCCGGGCAAAGACGCCGGTGCACCATCACGCCCCGTTTTATGGGGGATCGATGGTTGAGAGGCCACAAAGCCCCAGGTGGGTGGGGCGAAAGTCCGTCGTAAAAGTCGCGCGCGCCCGGCAGATTTACGGCCATCGGGCCGCGAGATTTAACGGCCAGTTTATAGATCCGACGCACGCCGATCCGATACAAGCCCGTTCCGTCAACGCAACGCCCATCTGGACTGCACGAGACATTTACTGCGCCGCGCATCGCCTTTCCGTCCACTCGCATCACAATCTCCCGAGGCGTAAATTGTGAACGAAATTACGTGTCGAATGAGATAAATCTCCTCCGAGTTGGTTGTGCCTTGCGTCAGGTTGGATGTTGGGTTTTCGATGAAAACATCGGACTCGTTGGATATACGTGGCTTATGACTAGTTCCATTTAGAATTTAATAATTGTACACCCACTAACTTATCACTCACTTATATTATTAGAATAAAGATATTACATCTAAGTGTATATACATTGGAAAACTTCTCTTTACTTACCAATAAATCAGCATCAAAACCTGAAATCAAACAATAATATCAGTTAGTACAAGGGTAAAAATATTATAGGAAATAGCAATGAAGGAATAGTAGTAGATTACTTGCCAGAAATTACACATCGTAAGGATGTAAGGTATCCTCCACCTTCTCTCCAGAACTCTTGCCCATCACAGCAGATGAAAAGTTATTTCTTTCTGCAATCTCAGTGTAATGGAACATATAGTCAATAAGAATTCGTTTACGAAATTCTTATAAGAACATTGGTTAACAAAATCGCTTCGATTGAAATAATCGTGTGTGACACCAATTTGTTTTCAGTATTCCATTCACCTTATATTAGCATAATTCAATATACATTAACATAAATAATACAGTATTGAGTAAGAGATTCCCGTAGAGAAATCTCAGTGGGATGGATATTTAAAATAAACCGTTCAATGGCGGTGTTAAATAAAAGATGTTAATATTTGATGGGATAGCAAATATACTCATATATCAAAGACACATGAAAACGATCTTCAATAAAATTTGAAGTCAAATTGATTACAAAAATTTATTTACTTAAACACTATAACTTCATATTGATATATAAATAACTTATTTCAGAAGACTTATTATTTCTTTTACCGTAAGAGCAAATTATCATACATGGACCTCTACACCCATTTAAGTAGCCAACCTCCTAGCCTTTGCTTCAGAACAAATGAAAAAGTGAAATTAAATCATCATCTGTGGCCGTGATCTTCCCCGGATGAGCCTGCCTATTCTTGCAACAGAAGCTGCTTCGTGGCCTTAAAACAGCCAGCTACTACAACCTATATATATCCCACAGCATGCTATATATATAGCACAGAGGGCTTCATTATTTTCGCATTTTTGATTGTTATTATTTCAAAAATTGTAGATGTAGATAAATATGTAGATTCTCCCACGATGTTTTCCTTCAAAGTCAAGCACGTGATAGCTTAGTGCCCTGACGTTCGCTTTTAATTGATTATACTCAAGAACTCAAACCTGAGTTCAAATCCCGGTACCAGCACCAAAGAAATTGTTAATTTTAGGTGATGACTTATCACGTGCTCAACATCGTGAGGAAACCTGCATATTTATTTCTATTGGATGACTCCGTGGCGCAGTTGCCAAGGCATTGGCTTCGGCGTCGGAGGTCGTGGGTTCGATTCCCACACGGGCCAACTATTTGTGTGACCCACAGATAGTTGTTTCGCACCTGGGTGTTTGTCTATGTGAAATTTATGTTTGTAAAACGTCCCTACAACGCAGGATAATGTTATCCTAAAGTAAGGGCAATGCTTTTTTTAAATAAAAAAAAATTAAAAAGAACAAAAATGTGTGAAGTCTGCCAATCCGCAATAGGGTCACGCGGTGGACTATACTCTAATACCATCTATTTAGAGAAGCCCTTTGCCCAGCAGTGGGACATGTAGAAGCTGATAGTTTACATACTCTTAGCTGTGGTAGCTTCGATACCGGGTTAGTACCACGACATCACAGAAGACCGGCGTGAAGTGGAAGTGTCATACTTCTACGTTTCGTCCGGTGAGTGAGGCACTGGGCCCACTTTATTAAAAGGTGGCAATGCATCTACCACCCTACGGGTGTTGCAAATGCCCATAGCCGGCTTTCACTTAACATCAGGTGAACCGCCAGAACACTTGCCACCTTCTCACATAAAAAGCGCGTGATAAAGTCAGCACTTAAAATTGAAATCAACAATATCGCCATTGCTTGTAAGAAGTTTTAATTTTTATAGTGCTAATCTCCGATTAAAAATTAAAATTTGTCTTCAATCTTTTCGTACTTTTTCTACATATTTTAATGTTTAATCTTACGTGCAGAGATTAGCACGATATAAACTAAATTTTCTAAAAAGCAATGGCGACATCTCTCGTTCGAATTGTCGTTGTAAAACGATATTCGAATTTGTTTGTATGCTGGAAAGGATATAACAATATATGTGCCAAGCATTGCTTCAAATGCTAAAAAACAATGTTTTTTTTTTAGAACTGGCCAGCACTTGACTGCCTTCCCACCTGATGGTAAGTGGCGATGCAGCCTTTGATGGTAAGCGCGCTAGCTCAGTAAAAACCTATTCAATGTAGATAAATGACGTTAAGATTTTCGTCCGTGTGGCAATCAGCCGTTTAGCTCAGTGGCTAAAGCGTCAGGCCGCGAATGCCGAAGACGTGGGTTCGATTCCCACAGCGGCGACAATCTTTTAGTACTTTTTCTACAAATTTTAACCAACAATATCATTTTTTCTACATATTTTAATATCATTGATGCCGGCACCGCGTTTTGAATAAGCTATAAATATCTAAAAATATTGAATTCTGTCAATATTTCATATTAATACTATAGTTCCATCGGCGCTTTCAATCTTCTCTCATCGATTGGCGGTACGGGGCTAGAGCGTAGTCGGTAGGTACAAGATATTTATTAAGCCGTTCGGGCGGTACACAAGGCGGAGGGTAAGTAGAAAATTTTAATTTCACGTCTAGAGGCGGGCCGGGGCGCGGAAATTTGTGTGGCATAATAAGTGAGATTGTTGCGAAATTTGCTACGAGAAAAAGAAAGAGGGCTCGCAACGCACTACTGCGGCGGCTTAGTGTGGACCTGCCGATTGAATTTAACACTATGGAGTGGTGGATGGAGTGAAAACGACACAATCAAAACAGTTTAGTTTATAAATCCAAATGTGGATCAGAAGGTCAATTCACAGCTTGGAACTAAGTGCTATTGAGATCTATTGCTTAAACGTCAAATATGTGATATCATTCCATAAATTGTTAAACTTTGCAGAAATATTATATTTATGACGATGAAAACGTTAAATTTTTATGTTTTATTACATTTTTTAAAATATTTAAGGCCTGTTAACAATAACGTGATTTTACCTTTCATTTGATTCTGTTTGTGACATATTTTGATTGTAAGATCGATCGTTTTGAATGAAAACGAACACCTTAATGCTTAAGCTGATATAAGCTCCTGGTTAAAAGACCTCGTGACCTTGTTTTCAAAAAAACATTCATAAATACGAGTATTTTTTCTACGTGAGCTGGCAAGCAAGCTGGTGCCTCAATTGATGTTAAGTGATCACTGCCACCCATGGACATCAACAGCACGCATAAGGGCTTAAAAATCCGTTGACAACCTTTAAAAAGGTGGTTACTTAACTCACTAGACGAAACGTGAACCTTAATACTTCTACTTCATGGTCTTCTGTGAGGCCATGGTACTTCTGCGGACGCACCTGCCATTCGTGCAACAGTTGATGCTGTTGCATGGCTCTACCACAGTAGAGATAAAACTAATTTACGGATTAAAACGTTTCATTTCCTTTTAAATATTCTGCGTTTCGAAGAACATACAGCATTTATAGTCATAGGCTATCGGTTTCGTAAAGTATTCGAAACTATAAGATTTGAGAAACAAATTTAACGCGACACAATCCGCGGAATACTTCCATTCTAATTAAACGATCATAAGACTAGAGCATCGAGGACACAACGAATAAAATAATCCTATCAGAATTACTTACAGAGTGGGGGTCCACATTAATCCATCCGCATTCCGTGGGCGCACGTGTAAGTGGCAGCTTCAATATTTATGTGCAATTTTTCGAGCGCCGCCCGCCCCTCCGCCCCGGCTCCGAGCGCCCCCGAAAGGGCATGCAGCGGCCGATCTTCCCAGTTCGAGCGCCCAAATCGCCCATAAATGGCCCCAGTTATGAATACGCGCCGCAATTATTAATAACCTATCTGCTCGTATCTAGAAGGTTCGACGGATCAGATGGAATTTATGCACCACTCTACGCTTCAATCAAGATGATTCAAACTTTACGCATCTTTTTTACATTATAATGTGCTCTATTGATATTTTACTTTATCGTTATTGTATACAGAGAACGCTAGATCTTGTAGATTGTTATTTTAAAATTTTCCTTTCATAATCAATAAAATATTCTAGAATTTTTTTGTGTTATATTATCTGACAAAATATTAATATCCTTTTAAGATATAGCAGTAAACACATTCGAAAGATTTTATCTGCAAACAAACATGACTAATGCATACTTACAATTGTCAATTCATCTTATATTTCAAAACGTATTGGTTGATTAGAAACTTGTTGTCTACGACACGTAAGTGTAAACATTAGCATTTTTAATCTGGCGGGCTAATCTACCCGGGTATAAAGCCTAAACGGCGTTGTGTACCCAATGTATTGCGAATACGTGCGCTGGCTACCGATTAGGTGGATATTGTTGCGGACCGTACACAATTGAACCGAGCTCCGTATAAACAGCGGGGGTACGCAGAGACCTATACAAACAGCTGCAGTTAGAGATCAACTGGAATTAACGCGCCCTTACCTCTACATCGATGGCTAAATTGGACATGTGGGACCTAATTGTAGGACCGCTAGTTATGATATACCTACCTCCTACGTATATAAGTATTTATCATCACTAACTTCTTTGAATGAATTTTTGTCTAAACACTATGTGTTTGATTACTAGGTAAATTTACTATAGAGAATCAATCTCAACAAAACAACATTATATTACAAAAATTATTAAAACTTAAAAAAAAGAAAACACAATTTAAAAAAAATATTCAAATATATTTTGCTGTTAGAAAATTGTATAGGAACCGAAACTTTTGTCGGTAAAGTAAAACAATTTTCTTTGTGTTTGAGGTTGGGCAACAGAGGGCC